GTGCTAAGTGAGTGAACATCAAAGATCACACAACAGAAGTGCGCGCGCTCTCTCTCTCTCTCTCTCTCTCTCTCTCTCCCTACCGTTAAGTAACTTGTGCATTGTTTTACTTACTTGTTTTTGACATATCCGACCGAACTACAAACTTTCCAGTGATGTCTGTGAGAAAGATATATTCACTTGACAAGCTCGCGCATCTGCACCACCGCGCGCTCAATCCACTCAGTGTGCTTTGTTTATCAGCTCGCGCACACCAGCTATACAGGTGTTAATACTGAATGTTTAACATTATATTCATTGCATACATATACTCCGTAGTAGACATCCTTAACTCCTTTCTGCTGTCTGTTGTTCTGTTGTTGGTGTTTCTTTGTTTGAATATGGCGCTTATCACATGCTGTGTGGTATCGGCGTTTGGTATCTGGGCATTTTAACGAGTACGAGTACAGGAGACCAGTATCGGGCCCGATACGCATCCCTACTTTCTATGAGACGTAATTTCACAAACAGCATGAGTGAATCACCACACGCTCTCTCCCTTTACCTCTCAAAATGCACAAATGGCTTCAAATCCCCACATCGCGTCTGCACTATAAGCGAGCTGCATGCTGCACAGTTGACACAGGAATTGTCACTTGCACAATTGAGGCAGTGTTGCATCGTCACTAAAGTTTATAATTTGCATTTCTTTTTAAGTCTTGCCAGTGTTTAAACCATTCAGCACTCGCGCGCTCTCCAAGAGAGCGGTGTGCTCATGCACACTCAAAGCACACACATAAGGTCGCCTCACAGCTCACAAAATCAGACTTGTGCTGTGTGTAAGCTATTGTGCAGTAATTGCCCCATTGTAAAAACAATAATGCACTCCATGATCAAACATTTAGGTGAGATAATTATATATATTTGTGAAAAATGTCTAAAAAATGCTCAAGCTGACATCTCATTAAACAACTGTCTTCTAAATTTTTTTCCCTTTTCTAAAAATCCTAATACTTTGTTTTTTTTGTCCATGTTTAATCCTAGATTGTGGTCCCTTTCGCACCCTACAACAGACGTTAACAAGGGGATGCAACCAAGGAAAAAAAGACAATCTATCTCACCAGAAAGGAGCATAGGATCCTTCTCCAGAGATTTGCGGACATGATCGGACTCCCCAGTCAGAGAGCTTTCATCAATCTTCAGGTCATTACCCTGGATCAAGATACCATCAGCTGGGAGAAGGTCACCTGATGGAAAAGAACATGGGGTGGTGAATGACTGTGGGATGACTTTAAGAGAGAGGAAGAGATACAGAGAAAGACACATTCAGCAATTCAGCGCAAGGAGAGGAGCAGAGGCTGATTTGGCGACCATGACGACAGATCTCTCCTGTGGCTCTTGGACAACCCACGCGTCGCCCACATTTCAGGCACCATGAGCAGCAGCGCAGTGACTCACGCAAGCTGGTAAGCATGAGTCATGAGCCATGCTTTGTGTCTCAGAGAAGACTGGCAGTCACATATGATCCATCAAAACCGCTGGTGAATTCAATGAGGAACTTGCCTCTGAGGTTTAATACAAAGGCAAAGGGTTCTAGGGAGAAAACTATGCTTTATAAATGCCGCAGCACTCATAAAACACAAATATGGCAGAGATCACTGGATTCACATCTAGTTCCGTCACACTGTAGACATAAATCAACAGGTTTACAACGTATTTCCTGTTCTCAAACGTGAACTCTCACCGTATTTGATTTGTGCAATATCTCCCACAACGATTTCAGCCACTGGGATCTGGATGACCTGACCCTTGCGGATGACCGTGAACTTCTGTTCCTGCTCGATGCGGCTCTGCAGCCCACGGAACTGCTTTTCTTTACTCCAATCGTTGAAGGCGGTCACCAGCACAACGATAATGACCGAGAACAAGATGGCAGCACCTTCGATCCAGCCTGCCTGGGCCTCGCCCTCATCCTCAACACCCCCAGATGCTTGGCCACAGTCTGGAATTACATAAAAACACCAAGAGCAAATCAATCACTTACAACATCCTGTGCAAAAGAACTGTATCTCGCCAATCTAAACTAAATGTAACCTTTAAACAGGTTCATACAACCTTTAGAGACCATTAAGTGTCCAAGCAATAACAGCTGCTGCACGCTCATGTTTTTATCAGAGTCTCCTCTTTGGAAAGTTTTCTCTCGCCAGAAACATGTTTTATCACAGATTTACGCTTCATTGACCTAATTTCCTCCTGGAGAACTTGATGACTGTCTAAGGTCATCCTTGTGGTTTGAGCCATATGGGTAATAGGAAGAGTCTGCAGTCACAGCCAAATTCAGGTTCTCCGGTATTCAGAGCTGTGCTTCTCAACAAAAGTCCCAAATGAGGCTGTTATTAAAATATAAGACGCCAAAATGGTGAGTCACTTATAAAGTCGGAATCAAAATGAAAAACAATAGACTGGTTTCTGGACAGTAAAGAAAAGGCCGAAGCTTTCCTTAGATCATTAGAGCTTCTGATCCAAAGCTACCTGAACCTAACTAAGACTATTCAAAAAAGTTTGGGATCAAAAGTTTAGGATTAGAACTTTTCTTTTTTTCTTTTGAGAAGAAATACTTTTATTAAGGTAGGATGCATTATTATCAAAAGTGACAGTCAGGACATTTATAATGTTATTCTGTTGCTGTTCTTGTCAACTTTATATTCATCAAAGAATCCTGAAAAATAATGTTTCAAAGTTACCATCAAGTATTAAGCACCACATCTGTTTTATACATTGATAATAATAAAAATAAATCCTTCTTGAGCACTAAATCAAGATATTATAATGATTTCTAAAGGCTCATGTGGCACTGAAGACTGGAGAAAATTCATCTGAAAATTCAGCTTTGACATCAAGGAATAAATTTACATTTATTAATTATAATTAATCAAATGAATACAAATATTTTAATTTGTAATAATATATTGCATTATTGCTATTTTAATTTGTAATAACAATATATTGCATTATTGCTTTTTTTAAACAATTTTGAATGAAATAAATGCTTTTGGTAAGCATAAGACACTTCTTTCAAAACCATTAGAAAAATCTTTTGAACGGTAGTGTATTTGGCATTTTCTAATTTTAGTTTAGTATAAGTGGTTTTATCATAGTTTTGATAGTTAAAATTTAGTGTTGAATGTCATTTTAATTTTTGTTTCAGTAATAATAGATAAGCAATCACTTCAGGAACTAGCAGAACTCTGTCACTAAAGCAAGACTGTTATGGAAAGAAAATACATCTGTACTGAAACTGCAAAACAACATATTAGCATCTGCTACTTGAAGTAGAGGTCTGCGCGGGACTGTTGTTTTAGTCCCGCTCCCGCAAGGTTCTATTCCACACCCACCCGCTCCCGCTATATTTCACTCTTTGTTCACCCGCTGTCCGCTTAGAATAATTTTCTTCCCGACCGTTCCCACTAAATTTAGATCTCATTTCCAGAATCTCGCATTTAAATTTCCGCTACTGAAAGAAAGAGAGATAGGCTGACAAATAAAAGTGCCCACCCGCTCCCGCTGTATTTCACTCTTTGTTCACCCGCTGTCCGCTTAGAATAATTTTCTTCCCGACCGTTCCCACTAAATTTAGATCTCATTTCCAGAATCTCGCATTTAAATTTCCGCTACTGAAAGAAAGAGAGATAGGCTGACAAATAAAAGTGTAGTCTGCACAAAATTGTATGTTATTTTATTCGTCTTGTCAAGAGTCTTGAATTTATTGACTTTAACTTGAATTTATATGAATTATCTTAATACACAAAATTTGTTTAATATTTTATGCAACACAGTAGGAAAAAAAAAGTGTCAGAGAAAATAAAAATGTTGTACAAAAATGGTATTATTTTTATTCGTCTTGTCAGGATACAATTCGTTTAACATTGACAACACAATAGGGAAAAAGTGTCGCAGAGAGAAAAAAAATAAAAATGTAGGTTGTACAAAAATAGCCTATTAGCTATTTTTATTCGTCTTGTCAAAATACTAAATTCGTTTGACATTTTTTTTGTCAACAGTAGGAAAAGTGTCGCAGAGAAAAATAAATAAATACGACATCTTTCATTTAAAATGATAGGCTAAGCAAAATATAAACAAAACCGTGCTGAACGTCCTTCAAGGACAGCGCATCCACACTTTGCTCCATCCTTATTCTGCCCATCACTCATCGACAACCTGCCTGTTCTGTCTGAGGGCCGTATATTTACCACAGGTACAGCCTGCTCTGAGCATCGTTATGCACATGCTGCACACAGACCACGCAAATAAAACGCGTGATGTTATAGCATGCGTGCAGCGCGTGCATAACAGTCCTGAGCGCAAGCTGTACCGCTGGTCAATAAGAATAAAGCGCAGATATGCTGCTCTAAATGGACGTCGGGAACGAGATATTGTTAGACCGCCCGCTCCCATTCAAATTACACCAGAGTTACCGACCGCTACCGCGTTTTATTCGGGAATTTAATCCCACGGTGCAAAAAATCCGGTTGGGTCCTGTGGTTCCCGCAGGAGAGCCGCGGGAATACAGACCTCTAACTTGAAGAACCAAATCAGCACCAGACTTCAGACTATGGAAATTGACTTTGTCTGGTACAGCATTAAGAGTGTTCTGCAGTTTCCTACCAGCCATTATGATGCTCAATGAATACTAAAACTTTACATTTCTATCATTTATATTTTCATATATTTTGAAATATTTTTATTTCTATATAAAATATACTAAAAGGAACATTATTAGTATACTTCCATTTACTTTGCATTAATGATTTCAGTTATTTTTACATCTTATAAGGTAGTTTGAGTGTAGGAAAATAATCCAAACAATACTGAAACAGACTTATTAAAAACTTTTTAAAGCAACTACTTACTGTCGCTGCCTTCCCCTTGTGGGTGGTAGAAGGACAGGCCGAGAGAAATAATGGCTGCCACCTCCAGAATAATGAGGGTGACATCCTGCAGGGCCTCCCATACCAACTGCAGAAAGGTCTTGGGCTTCTTGGGGGGGATGAAGTTTTTACCGAACGCCGTGTGACGCTTTTCCAAATCAGCAGGGTTACCAGAGAGGCCTGCAGAAAAAAACAAACAGTATTTATTATTTTTTATAAAAGGTATAGTTTTGACTCTGAAATTTGACTCAACTATACACGTTACTGTAAATCAATGGAATTAATATTAATGCAGCAGGTCTACATTTCTATGCTAATGAGCTATTACTAAACACAAGGCAAATCTCTTTATAAATACACTGCGTTACCAATATGAAGTCAAATTAGCTCTCTGATACCTTCAAAGGAGGTATTTTGAATCAGTGATTGATCACACACTTGAAACAAGTTCTTTCAACTGACATTCAATGTGCCACCTTATTTGTAGCCTGTTTGCCTTTTAGACCATAGTGGTTGCAGACGAATAAGATGTACTGATGAGCAGCCAGTGCCATTTTTTTTTTGCATGCAAAATTCAAAACAAAAAGTCATAAAAAAACCTCAGAAGTGGCAAGGACAGCAAGCCAACTAATTGCACACCCGGAATCATTTAATATGGATACAATTAAGAATGCCTGGCTGGCACCTATGAATTTTAAAACGCTCTCCATGCCATGTCAACTTTCATCAGTGCTTTCAGTGGTAGATTGGAATAGCCAATGCACCCGTTCATGGGGTTATTATTTTAACACACACACAATAAAAGCAGTCAGATATTTCTGCGTTTCAGGTGGATTATCATGGATATGTGTGTCAAGGTTTATAGGAGCAGCGGAACAATTAATCAGTGTTGAGAGCTGGGAGTGCTGGTAGCCGATAAGCCCAGAATATTGAATGAGTTTTAGCCTTTGCTTTAATCAACCAGAAACTAGCACATGGGGTTTGGGAGGGTTTAGGCAAAATAGAAATTTCTTTAAATGGATTTTGCACAGAAACCATTTTGAAACAAGGTTAGTCATTTTTCCTCTTTTATCTGTCCATTCTTGTGATTTCTTCCCCTGACTTAGCTAAAAGACAGATCAGATATGATGGACTGCTTTCTGCCAGCAGCAGTTCTTTGAGAAAACACTGAATATTGTCAGTATCACTAAATAAATTATGCAACAGAGGAACATGGGAGAGGGCGAGAGCGTGTGTGCATTGTTCCTCAGAGACGCAGCTGTCGATTGACCAGCCTGTTGATGATTGACACTGCAGCAAGGCTTCCAGGGGGATAGAGAACAGAAAGCTAGCACCTGAGATTTTAGATAAGAACCAGAGGATTGATACAATAAGAGCTTGGCCATGTGGAGGATGATCCTTATTGACTTATTCATTAAAAGGATAGTTCATCCAAAACTGAAAATTGTCATCATTTACTCACCCTCATGTTGTTCCAAACCTGTGCGATTTAATTTTTTTTAATGATATGATATTTTAAAAATGTCTGGTTTTTGTCCACACTATGAAAGTCCATCTGTTGTTTTGGACCCCACTGTACAAAATGTACAAAAACATTTTTCAAAATATATTTTATGTTGCACAGAATTATGCACGTCATGTAAGATTGGAATGACATGAGGGTGAGCAAATGATGATTTTCATTTTTACTTTACAGATTAGTCCATTACATATTTATTAAATAGTTGGACAATTTGATTATGCCTTTAGTGTAGCACTCTCAGCTGCGTTAAGCACATTTTACCATGTTTAAAACTATTCTTAAAACCATTCTCCCTCAAAATCAGCCCACCAAAAAAGTAATAACAGCCTGCAGATTGCATCCGGTCCTGCTCATAAGCATCGTTGTGACCAACTATTTCTCTATCAGCGGGGTCCTGTTCGGAAATCGAGCAATCTTTCTGTTTGCCCTCTACTCTAAAGAAGCTGAAGGTCAGAATAGATTTTCCAGAGATTGCCCCCTCTCTTTACTTCTCCCAATCCATTTATTTCTTGGTGAACTAACTGTCCATTCCAGGCCGGTCCATGAGTGATTTGTATACGTGTCAACATTTACGAGATTGGGAATTAGGCCGAAAACATCCTGGCCCTCCGTGTGGAATATAAAGTCGACGTGGCGTTTATTTAAGCATTTCGAGGATCTTCTACATCATCTTGAGTTCTTTATTTAGGCTGGATGTTGTTTTTCATACCCGTCAACATAAAGATGCAGTATCAGGCCATGAACCAGGTGTATTACCACAAAACTCCTGACTCACTTCAACACAGACGGCATCTGGCCCTGTCAACAGAATGGTTTCAGTTTGGAAGAGAGCAGTCTGTCAGGCAAATCAGGTAAACAAAAGTCCCATTGTGGCCTAAGGATGGAAAGTCGAGGAGCACTAAGGCCTCAAAAAACTAGTAGAGTGGGGGAAATTATGAAATTGTCCATCATGATACCTTTAAATCAAAAGCAAGAGAAAAAAAAATCAACAGTAATAATGTGATGTAAGGACTGACAGATGGAGGTCTCCATTCAAGAGATCATCAACTATAGGCACCCAAACATTATTCATGTGTTTATATGCTAGAGGCTAACAAGAGCTGACTGCCTCCAGACAACTGCAGTCACATCTATGGCTGGGAGGCTGTTGCCGGGGGGCTAGTGTCAAGGTGACTGAAGCAGAGGCTTTGATAGAGGATGCTGAGGGGAGACGGTTGTGATGGTAATGGAGGAGATCATTAATAGGGCCGGGCTGACAACCAAGCACAACAGGCTGCATTCCGATTCGGCACACAAATGACTTCACGAAGGAAAGATGTACAGATACGGCAGCCTTTCATTTTCTTCATAAAACGACACTACTCACCTTGGTTTGAAGTATATGGTATTTTAATCAATATACAATAAATGCAACAGAAATGGAGAAGTGTGAAAGAGAGGTTTGACAAATATTTGCAGTCACAAGACATGTCCACAAATGACAACATGGTGATGCGTCAAATGCTTTGGGCAATTTGGGCAGTAGAAGTCTTCTTCAAACACAGAAATAGAGAGCGGAAGGGTATGAACATTATAAATCACTAGGTATTGGTCTAGCCTATATTATGGGATTCCATCCTTCAATTTACGATGCACAGATTGTGCAAAGTCACTGCCAGATTGACCAATTTGTGACTGGACAGATCATCAAAAAAAATGAAAATGGTGTCCTCATTTACTCATCCTTAAGTCACTTGAAATTGATGTGCTGTTAATTTCTCAACAGAATACAAAAGCTTTGTTCCATTTAACATAGTTTTATACTACTGTTCAAATGTTTGGGGTCAGCAAGACTTTTTTTTTTTTTTTAATAAATAAATACTTTTATTTAGCAAGGATGCATTAAACTGAACAAAAGTGACAGTAAAGACAGCTTATTAGTTACAATTATATAACTAATAAACATTTATTAGTTACAAAAGTATAGAATTTTAAACAAATGCCATTTCTTGCATTGATAATAACAAATTTTACTTGAGCACCAAATCAGCGTATCAGAATAATTTCTGACGGATCATGTGAAGACTAAAGACTGGATTAATGATTGCTGAAAATTCAGCTTTGCCTGGAATAAATTATAGTTATTTTACATTGTAATAATATTTCGATTCAATTCAATGAAAAATGTGTTTAAAAATTTGTTTTGGATTTTAGCAACCAGACTCATTTAATGCAAGAAATGCAAGAAAATTGTATCAAACCTTAGACCTTGAATTCCACCTTAAAAATCCTGCATTTTGTTTTGCTCTCTTGGCCAGGATCAGAGGTGAGAGAGAGATTGTGAACACATGGACAGCATAAGGGCTGTGGCTGTCTGGAGGCGAGCCAGTCACACCCCCTACAGATACACCAACTCTCTTTCTCTCTGAACATGGCCATCATTCTCTCAGAAAACCACCAACCTGAAGCACACAGCCTAGCAGTAAATACACCAGGATAACACACCATGTCCTCCTTTCTTAGGCTGTTTATTGTAACCTGCGTACATTTTTTTTTTTATATATATACAGTGGGTACGGAAAGTATTCAGAATTTTTTTGTAACCTTGGCCAGATCTGTGCCTTGCCACAATTCTGTCTCTGAGCTCTTCAGGCAGTTCCTTTGACCTCATGATTCTCATTTGCTCTGACATGCACTGTGAGCTGTAAGGTCTTATATAGACAGGTGTGTGGCTTTCCTATTCAAGTCCAATCAGTATAATCAAACACAGCTGGACTCAAATGAAGGTGTAGAACCATCACAAGGATGATCAGAAGAAATGGACAGCACCTGAGTTAAATATATGAGTGTCACAGCAAAGGGTCTGAATACTTAGGACCATGTGATATTTCAGTTTTTCTTTTTTAATAAATCTGCAAAAATGTCAACAATTCTGTGTTTTTCTGTCAATATGGGGTGCTGTGTGTACATTAATGAGGAAAAAAAATGAACTTAAATGATTTTAGCAAATGGCTGCAATATAACAAAGAGTGAAAAATTGAAGGGGGTCTGAATACTTTCCGTACCCACTGTATATATATATATATACATCCCTCTATATATTCGATATGGAATATATCAATGAGGAAAAAAATATTTGTGATGTTTTTCCTATTTAAAATTGGACACTATAACAATATCAATAAACAATTTCATTATTTTTTATTTTTTTAAGTTTGTTGCCTCAAGGCAACATTGTACCATAACGGACAAATTTAAACATTTGACATTTTCATGCAGAAAAAATAAATATATTTATTGAAAACATAAATTTCTTTAACCAAACACTTGAACAAACAGATTTATCTAGTTTTTAATGTATTGCACAACTGGTATTTAATAAAAAGTAACATTTCATATCCAGCTGTTGCTCTCAGGCAACACTGTACCATCGTGGATAACAAGTATAACTAAACTATCATATCTGTTATCATAGCAACACATTATAATCAGTGTTGTTTCAAAGTAAAAAATGAAAAATAATCATAACCTTATACTAATATGCACTTTATCTTTACAAGCATGCACATACACACACACGCACGTGCATGCAAAATCTCCTTCCTCACTAATGACACCTCATTGCTTGTGAAAGCTGAGGAAGCAATTCCTCTCAACAGAAAAATCATAATATGTGCAG